CGGCTTTTTTCTTTTTGCTTATGTGGTGCTGAGGAATCGAACCCAGGGCCTCATGCATGCAAGGCAAGCGCTCTACCACTGAGCCACCTTCTCAGCCCCAAAATGATGGTTCTTATGCTCACCTCTTTGGTTGTGAGAGCGCATGAGTGCTTAGAGCAGGGCCCTGACAGATTTGGCTCTGGGTACATCCACCAGTGGTGGTAGCACTTGACCAGAATGGCAAAACTGGGTTAGGTGGCACCTACATCCCTAATCTTAGCTTCTTGGGAGGCTGATGGTTCAAGAGATCCCTTTGTAACCATAGCTGAGTACAGTGGTACACGCCTGCCGCTTTAAGCTACTGTGGGAGGCTGAGATTAGGAGGGCCTTGCTTCCAGACCAGCTAGGAAGAAAACTCCCTGAGACTCCATCAGTGAAGAAACTGGGATGTGGGCGTGCAGCATAGGTGTGCTTCTGGGACGGAAGCCAGACCCTGTCTTAAAAATAATCAGCATCGTTTGTCTCTCTGAGTTTGGCTTACCTCACGTAACAAAATTTGTTCTAGTTCCATCCATGTTCTCTCTGATGTATAGAAATCAGATAAAAAATGTACTGGGATATGCTAAATTATTCAGGAGTCAGAATACTCACACACAGTGAGACCAAAAGAGAGAACTCTTAGGAGAGAACAGAGGCACAATGCCCAAGCCCCTCTCCATAGTTACATAAAATAACAAACACACTGAAACAAACTCCAAGATAGAGAAACAAGAAACTTCTTTTTTATCTTTTCTCCTTTTGTTTTTTAGTTTTTGTTGATCCTGTCTTCTTTACCTTATAGATGTTATATTCAAGTGTACATCTAGGGAAGGGTACAGAACTTGAGGAAAAAAGGGAGGAAGAGTGCAGTAGAGGAGCTCACTGGACACTGATGAAAGTGAGCTAATAACTCATGGGTGGAGAAGGGAAGGAGGGACTGGGAGAGAATGAAGGAACAGAAGACACTGTACAAAAGGAAATGTATTCATTTACCTGCTTCATGTACTTACAATCCCTCTGTACACCACCTCTACAGTAATGATAAAGTAAATTATTAAAACAATCAGCATCAGCATGTACTCATTACCTTATTCATGTAACTGTAACCTCTCTGTACAGCATCTTTACAAAAAATGATTTTTTTAAAAAAATCAGCATGAAACAGGTTAGAGGCATGGCTCAGCGGTAGAGCACCATGAGGTCAACCTTAGTACTGCCAGATAAAAAAGAGAAAACAAGAATCTACTAGTTTTAAAGAATCTACTACTTTATATAATAGTCCTAACAGATGAATGTAGTCCTAGCAGACAAATATTTACAGGACAGCAAACAAGCATGGATTGGGAAGAGTTGGGAGAGGGTAGAGGTGGGAAGGATTGAGGAAAGGACAGATCCATATAGGGTATCATTGACAAAAAAAAATGGGCAACTGTGGGTGAATACAGTCACTGTATTCAATGTAATTATGTGAAAACAGAACCAGGCAATTTAAAGAGGTAGGTAGGGTTGGGACAGATGGCGGGGAGGACGGTGGAAAGCGTGACAGTGATCAAGGTGCACTGTACTTACAAACTGACATGTTGAGTTGAAACCCCTCTGTACAACTCCTTAAAGATAAATAAATAAATAAATATAAAAGTACGACAACATAGTCAAAACTGAGGGTAAGCATAAGATTATTTTAAATCAGAAGACCTAGCAAGTTCTAAGCAGAGACATTCAAAAGTAAATGAATTACTCTCTCCACAAGAACAGGTATTTGCTTTATGAGACGCAGTTTAACATGCTGTGTTTGGAATAAAGCTATCATTCATCACCTGTATGGATTTCTAAGTTTAATTCAATTGATCTCCGCAGACAGATCTACAGGAGTTTACTATTCCAATTCTCAGAAGCACCTATGAATTCCTACTGCTTCCTGTGGGTCTTCCCTAAGCCAGGGCCTGTCATATGCCCTGTGTACCCCAAAGATCACTGTGTCTTCTGTCAAGCACAGCAGAGCGAGACAGCCTTGCGCAGGTTTACAAATATAAAGCTAAATCCAGATCGAGTATCTAAAAAGGCCAGAGCTAAGATCTGAGGCCCTGTCTGCTAAATCTCCAAATAAAGCACTGATCCTGAGGGACTGTGAGGCAGTGAAATCTACCCAGACAGCCCCAAAGTGGACAGACCTTCTGCACTCTGACAGGACAGGATGTGGACCAGCCAGACTGACACATAATTGATCCCTGAATGATTTTCTGGAACTGCTGTTACAAATGACCCCAATCTGGCATTAAAACAGACATCTGCACCCCTGTGCAATCAGGCACCATGCTTCCTTCAAAGCCTCTGTGGAGGCCTTATAAGTACCAAAATAGGACAATTAAGTATTCTATGATGTTTTGCTTTGAAGTACCAGAAGCCAGAGAACATGGAGAAGGAGAACTGGAACTCTGGGACAGCTGAGGTAGGCCCTACTGTCTTTGTTGCTCATGTCCCGCTACTCCCATAAGGCATAGTGAGGCCCAAGAATGGCTTCAACCATTCATTTGCTGCTTCTTGTCTGAGGCAGGGAAACTTCAGCAGGGAAACTGGAGCCAGGCAACCCCTAAAAACTGTGCTTGCTGTGTCTGCCAAGCTACCTCCCTCCCTCTTGGAGGGCAGTGCAGGGCTGCAGCCGGAACAGAGAGCCCAGCATCATGTCAACTCCGGAGACTGAAATTGCACACAACCTTTGCTGAACATTTGAATGCATTGATTCTTGCTCCCAACTGCCCTCCTCCCCACTAACAGCTGCCCGCAGTGCGCCACTAATAACTGAGAAAGAACTGAATAAAAAGACAGAGGGAGAGGGGAGGAAATCTGAAATTGCATTTCATTAATCTGCAAAGCAATGAATCTGCAGACTCCATCACACTACTCCAAAGAAGGATTACAAAGGCTCAAGACACCACATGGCTCTGTCACCCAGCCCCCGAGATCATGGGAAATGAAACTGATAGAGAAAACCTATCAAATCCTGCCTATGTAATTATGTTGCAGGTGGCTGCCCGTGAAGTTGCTGTTGGCTGGATACTGGCAACCCAGCTGGGTCCATACCCAACTGAATCACAGCGGCCATGAAAAAAAGAAACATTTTCACGTAAGGATTTTTATAGAGAGATTGTTCAATTTCTAAAATTGAATGTTTTAAATTGTAAATTAAAAACACATTTTAAAAATTGAAGTTAACTATATCTTTTGTGTGCCTTTAGGAAATTTTCTCGAGACATGGGGATTTGCATTTTTTTAAATTTTCTGTGGGACAGAGTCATAAGAGGGATAAGCAGAGTGCCTCCACTTTGTCTGACAACATGAAGAAAATACCCAGCCTTCTGTACGTTTTATTTACTTTTCATTTATTTGTTTACTTATTTATTTTAGGCAGTACTGGTGATTGAACTAGATATTCATGCTTGCTAAATAAGTGCTCTGCTGTCTGCACCATGCCCCCAGTTGTTTGGCTTTCTTAGTTTGTTTTCCAGATAGGGTCCTAAGCTTTTGCCCAGGCCAGCCTCTGATCATGGTCCTTCCACTTCCACTTCTGAGGGGCTAGGACCACAAGCGTGTGCTATCTATCATGCCTGGCTTGTTTTTGTCTTGGCTGGCCTTGAATCAAGATTCTCCTAACTCTGCCTCTGGAATACCTGGGATTTTAGGTATAAGCCACCATGCCTGGCTCTGTACATGTTTTCAAATGTCCATGGGAACAAATATTTCTGTTTTCTTTTTCCAAGGATAAAGACACTCTTGAAATATATGTTAAAACCGTTTCCAGCAGAGTCAACTAATAGGTAAGTCAAATGCAATCAATTGTGATTGCAGAGAGCAATGATAAGCTAGGGATTTCATGGCCCCATGCCCCTGGAGGAGGGGAAGTGGCAGTAGAATGCTGCTGATAAGCCAGACATTGAGTACAAAGGAACACTCAAACATCCTACAGGGAGATAGCACTGTCACCTTCATCTCCGCCCTCACTCTGCTAAGGGTAATGTACTGGGTGCTAAGACTAGACTAACTTGCCCAGGGTCACACAGCATCCCAACAACAGAGCCAGATGTGAGCCCAGGTCTATCTAACATAGAATAGTGTCAAATTCATCATTGGCTTAGCCACCTTTCACAGAATAAAGAAAAGAAGTAAGGCAAATGATGCCGAGGTCTGGCCATCCATCGAGAGGGACCTGAGGAACTTGCCGTCCTCCTCCCTAACTGAGGAGCTCTGGACTTGAGGGAGGAAGCCAACTACAAGTCCTGACATGAGGACTGTGGTGTCCTCTGGCCCTGGTGTTGTGGCTCCCCTGGAATCCTCTCCAGGCTTATGCGGATCCCAGTAGCAACGCTTCCTATTCTCCATGCCACACAGTTGGCTTGAATCACCTGCTGCAGGCGAGGCTGCACTACTGGGCCTGCAGACCTCAGGTGGACAGCAGATGTCTGTGAACTGGTCAATATGGCCCAGAGGTCTCAGGCAGGACACACCTGCAGCTCACTGACTTCCCACCGAACATGGGGTGAGTGGCCAATGAGAACATTCCTTAAAATCTGACCAGCTCTGGGTGAAAAGTCCTGGCTTCAGTGCCAGCACCCATATGCTCACCCCTTCATTGGGCTTGCTTTTGACTTCAATATCACCACTAACTCCACTTACAGTCATCCTTGATTCATTGTAAGATCCAAATATCTCAGTGTAAAGAGCAAGCTCAACACACACACACACACACACACACACACACACACACACACACACACACAATTCCCAGCTCTTTCCCTTTCTTTCTTGGGTAGATTATCACCATTTTCTAAATCCCAGTTAGTTCTCATTTATAAAAATGAGGTGATAATCACACCCACCTCAAGGTAAGTAGGCAGGGAAAGGAGTTAACAGAGTGCTCAGTGGTTTAAGGGCACAGTTATGGTAGCCATTGTTAGCAATCATGCTGGGCACGCAGATAAGATGAGGGCTTTTGGGGAGACACCTGTAGTTGCCTTTTGGACCATTGGGCTATGATGATCATTGGGCCCCACGATGCTAGGCAGAGCAAATCTCAGACTTACTTCCAGCAACGGTATGCCAGGAAGCACCGTTGATGGTTCCCTCCTCCTTCTGGAAGTCTTCTGTGTGGCACACCCTCCTCCGGGCATCTGTCATGAGACGGTGAGTGGAGGCATAGGAGTACGCCAGCCAGCGGAACACGTGATCGTCTGGCGTAGGGGTGTGCTCCTGGGTCTTCCACGGGGACCGCACCATGTCATAGGGGTATGCCACCACCAGCTCGCCCCCCTGCAGGTTGCCACCCAGCACAAAAGGGATCTTTTCCATCCAAGAGATGACTGCTCTGGTCTCCATGGCCACCTGGAAATATGCAAAATTGATAAAGAAAAGGAAGAGGAAAGAAATTGCTTCACCTCTCCAGCTTTCAAAACAGGCACATAATTTGTAAATGCAGTAATTTTACAAAATAATCAGAGTAATATTTGGAATCTCAAATCTGTCCTGGGGGAATTGGACTTGGAAAATAATGGATTAGCAGATTCTCTAGTTTCCATTGTAGGAATATTCCAAGTGATTACCACAGAGGGATGTTAGAACCAGAGTAAGTTTCCTCTAGGTCAAGCATGTTCATCCACAAATAGCATAAAATGTTCATCCACAAAAACCAATGCAACATGCCTCCCCAGGAGTGCACACACCTAACAAAGAGCTTCCCTGAATATGGCTATGTCTCTAGTTCAGGGATTGACAGGCTTTTTCTGCAAAAGGTCATTTAGTTAATTTGGGGGGCTTTGTAAGTCATGCAGCAGTGGAGCCTTATAGACAAAATGCAAATGCACAATGCTTCAGACTAATGACATACCACTTGGGGAAACAGGCCCGGCATGAGTTTGGTGCCTGGGCTGTTGTATCCCACCCCTTACTCTATCTAGTTTAGTTCAGCCTCAATGTCATTGTCCATTTCTCGCAATCATAAAGGGAAGTATACACAGCATGCAGGCGTGCTGCCGTCAGCAGCATCCAGATAGCAGAACACACTGCACAGAACCCAGAGGGTCACAGCAGAGCTGTTGCAAGATACTCAGGATGGGCAGCCACAAAAGAGAGAAAGAGTGTAATAGAGAGGACACTCGTTATGAAAACACCCTGGAGTCTAATGGAAACAAATGGGTTTGGTTGAATCCTGATTTAAACAAACTGAGGGGTTTAATGGAACCAAAGAAGATGGGAGGGAGGGAAGTAATTTACCAATCAGTATAACAAGGGAAATGTGAACCCTGATCGGGTAATTTATATCAAGAAACAATTTTGATATAATAATGGTAACATATTATTGCTTTAAAAGACAAGTCTCTATATTTAGACATAGCTATTGAAATATTTGTAAATGAAATAACATGGCACCTGCAATTTGCTTCAGTAAGGAGAGGAAGACTCCGTGGGTGAAGGTAGAGATGACACATGAATCGCTGAGTGTCAAGGCTGACATGCAGCACGTGGGTCCTTTACAGCTTCCTCTAATTTTGTATGTTTGACATTTTTTATGGTAAAATGTCAAGAAAGAAAAAGAAAGCTGACAATGTTAAAAGCTTAAATTAAAAGTCTGATATGCAGTCCAGATGCCAGAAGCTCATGCCTGTAATCCTAGCTTCTCAGGATTCAAGTTGAAGGAAGAAACCCCATGAGGTTCTTATTTCCAATTGCTCACCAAAAAGCCAGGAGTTGAGGTGTGGCTCAAGTAGTAGAGTTCCAGCCTTGAGCAAAAAAGCTAAGGTATAGAACCAAGGCCCTAAGCTCAAGCCCAAGTATGGGCACAAAAAGAAAAGTCTCTTATGGTTAAATATGGAGAAGTGAATCAGTATCTACAATACATTCTTAATCCCAATGAAAATAATTTTAGCAAGATAAATTGCTAATGGAAGAGAAATAGATAGGAAATCACTTCAGTGTGCAGTATAGAAAACCCAGTCTGGAATAGAACTCACTGGCATTGATTTTTGCTTCTAAAACACACCAGGAGCCACAGATTGGGCTAATCATAAAATTAAGCTCCTCAGATGGGGCCAGGGCTAATCCATGCTGTGACTACACCAGAACCTCAGAAAGAGGTCTATGTCCCTGAATAGAACATCTAAAAGCTACCTTGCTTGTTTTTACTTCTTTTCCTTTACATGCCGATACTGGGGTTTGAACCCAGGGCCCCATGCTCTTGCTTGTCTTTTTCATTCAAAGCTGGTAGGTTTTTTGTTGGTAACTGGGCATAAGAGCCTCACAAATTTTTCTGCCTGGGCTAACTTGGAACCAAGATCCTCAGATCTTAGCTTCCTGAGTAGTTAGGATTCCAGGTGTGAGCCACTAGTGTCTGCCCAGCTTCCTTGCTTTCAAACTAAAAAAAAAGAGGAGACACAGTCAAACCAAATTTTGTCTTCTGCCATTTCTTCTGCTTAGTTTATGTTTCTAAGGCTCATCAAGGACTTTGATTGAAGCTATTGTTCAGACTTTTTCTCTTCTACACGAAGGCCTCATTTATGTATGCTTACAAAGCCAGTGGGCATTGGGTAAATTTCAGTCTTTCACTATAATGAAATGTGTGTTCTGAACTCTCTCAGTACTGTCTTTGAGTGCATAAATCATCAGAAGTGGACTTACACAGAGCATTGCTTATCACCAGAAATTTGCCTTGCATACACTACCAGAAGTAGAACTGAGTATATATCCAGCAATTAGTGCAGCTTAGGGAAAGCGCCCAGAAGTTTGACTGACAAGGATAATAATCACAGCAACAAACACACACAATTCAGGGACCATTATGAAGAAATATAATTAGTTATTCCTACGAAGAATCTCTCAAATACCAATTTAAAAGGTAGTTATTATCTAGCCTACTTTTGGGGAAAACAAGAAAGAAAAAACTGGCTTTGTCTTGCTGTTAAATGTCATCTCCTGTGCAAATACCAGTGGGCACCCTTTGGCCTCCCACTGGCCTCCAGATATTTTTATACCCACCGTGGCATTTTCAGACAGAAACCACTCAGGGATGGCAATGTAGTGGTTGGGAACTTTCCTTGGGACATTCTGACGATCCTCTGCCTCCCAGAGCAGTGTGTTTAAATCAGGAAAGTTGTTGTTGATGTCAATCCCATCATGAGTCCAACGTCCCAGGGACCAGCCTCCCAGCTCTGAGCCCTGGCAACAATTCAGAGTGTGAAGAGAACATAGACTGCAGGAAACGCTGGACTCCCAACCATACAAGCAGCACTCATGTCCTTTTCTTCTGGACACATCTCAAAGCCTCCCTCTCTACAGCCTCTGATCCAAGGATAGCATCTACAGGGAATAAATACCCCAAGAGAATACCCGGAGAACCACTCCTGCCAATGGCAGTGCTTGAAAAGAATTAGAGTCCTTCTTTCACCTCTCCTTCCATAGAGTGGCGGAACCTTAGAGGAAAGCTGAGCCTAGGATTCCATTTCTGCAGCACTGACATTGTATTAATACATTCTTCATGCCCTGCCCACAAGTCTGGCTTACAAGTTAGCATCCTAAATCTCTAACCACAAGAAAAAATTATATCACAAAGCTTGCATTCCAAAGGGACCATGGTAGACATATCTGTCCAGTTGTGGTAGTATATCGTTACAGCATATCATAGGACATAATACAAAACAAACTAGACTCAAGATGTAACTATACACTTAATTATATTTCATACATAACTATGATGCATACAAATTCCATATGATAATTAGAACGTACACTGTAAGTAGTATCTCAGAAGCTCTGCCATCCTTGGCGCACTGATGAGAAGATGAAAGGTAATAGCCAAGGCTGGCATGTATCTTGAGGATCAGCCAATGCAAGGTGCTAATTGTGCTCTAGTATTGCCATTCAATATATGCAATAATATCACTATTCACGTTGACGTCTCCCATTTGTGGCCCTCTCTCAGAGTCACTGTTCCTCAATTCCTCCTTGGCACCTCTCAGAAACCATTGGAGGAAGCCTGAGCCTTAGCAAGAAACACTCAGAAGAAGACTCCAAGGTAAAATTCCCATGAACTTGGGGAGCACGCCCCAGGATTGAGGCTTCCGGCCGCTGTTTGGTGCCCTTACCCCTTCGCAGGCCTTCTCGTAGCCATCAGGATTGAGGGAGGGGAGGATATGGATCCGGGTCTCTTCTACCAGGTGCACAATGCGTGCATTCTGGGCCAGGTACTCCTGACACAGGAACTGCAGTAGCAGTAACAGCAGCTCACGGCCCAACACCTCATTGCCGTGGGCTCCAGCGATGTAATGGAACTCCGGCTCACCTTGACAGAGACAGAAACATGGGCTCCTGTGAGCAGGTTCACAGCCACATGCTGGTGCCTGCCCATTCAAGGCCTTGGATGATGTAACTTTCTGCTACAAGGAAGGAAGGAAGGAAGGAAGGAGGGAAGGAGGGAAGGAGGGAAGGAGGGAAGGAGGGAAGGAAGGGAAGGGAAGGAAGGGAAGGAAGGGAAGAAAGGGAAGGAAGGGAAGGGAGGAAGGGA